AGCAGCCCCAGCGCTAGTTTGCCGAGCCAGCAGCAGCTCCAGCCCCAGATGACAGGATGACGAAGCTGGAAAAAATTCTAGCTTCATTCATGACGAGCACTCAAGCGACTATCACGAGGTTGGACCAGAGTGTAGCCTCACTGGAGGCAGGTCAGAGGAACCAGGGTGCCATTTTGCAGGATTTGCATACCCAGGTGGGCATCTTGGCCCGCCAGAACACCACCAGGGCACCGGGGACTTTGCCTGCCACCACTGTCCCGAATCCTCAAGATCCTCATCAGCATCAGCAGCTGGATGCCATTTTTACCAGGAGCAGTAAGACCATATCTGCTGATCCTGTCCCGGCCAGACAGGAGGAACCACTACCTGCTTCAGCACTTCCAGCCGACGATGCAGAAGTGCGGGTGGAGAAGGAAGCCCCTGCTCCCAAGCTACAACCAGTGGTTAAGGAGCATGTACCCCAGCTTCCCTTCCCCACTCGCCTACACAAGGACAAGCTGGAGACTGAGTTTGCCAAGTTCATGGCAATGTTGAAGCAGCTCAACATCAGCATACCGTTCATGGAGGCACTATCGAAGATGCCCAAGTATGCCAAGTTCATGAAAGATATCTGCACCAACAAGAAGAAACTTGGGGATCTCTCGACAGTGATGCTGAGCAAGGAGTGTTCTGCTATCCTGCAGAACAAGCTGCCCGAGAAGCGCAAGGATCCAGGGAGTTTTACTATCCCTCTTACTATTGGCAGCATGCATGTAGGAAAGTCCTTGGCGGACCTAGGCGCTAGCATTAACGTCATGCCATATAAGTTGTATAAAATGCTAGACCTAGGTGAACTTAGCCCTACTAGGATGAGCATTCAATTAGCTGATCGTTCTATTGTGCATCCTAGGGGAATCATAGAGGATCTGCTTGTTCATGTTGGTGCATTCACATATCCTGTTGATTTTGTTATTCTGGATGTAAATGAGGATGTGGATGTGCCTTTGATTCTAGGTAGGCCATTTCTTGCCACCGCCAAGGCACTTATTGATGTGCATGATGGAAAACTGATCTTGCGTGCTGGGGATGAACAGGCTACTTTTTCTGTGACTGATTTTGATCACTGTGCTATGATTGCTGTCACGCCTGTGCATGCCATCTCTGATCAGGTACACGAGTCTGTCGTGTACCCTTCTGCACCTCCTATTTTGCAGGACCCTCCTATCATTCCTTCGCCGCCACTCCATCCAGCCACGCCTCCGAACAAAAAGCTCAAGGAGGAGTGGCGGCCGAAGCCGCAGGTTGCTAAGCCTGCACGTAAGAAGAGTGGAGACCACTATGAGCTGGTCCCACCTCCTGCACCACGACCACCCTAGCCGTCTGGGTACTCACTCGCCTGCATCTTGCCAGACGGGCAGGTCGAGCTGACTGATGAGGGTGGTCGCATCCGTCGGGTGCATGGCCACAACCTGAAGTTGTACCTCAAGAGCGACGTGGATCCGCTCTTGGAGGCACCTGTTCCTGCACCGCCCTGAGTATCCACCATGGGCGTCTAGCTAAACGACGGTAAAGAAGCGCTTGTGGGGAGGCAACCCACCACGGTTTGATTTTCTTTCTTGTGTTTTGAGTCGGATTGTAACCCGGTTTGGGTTTGGTTTGTTTTCTTTTGGTTTGGATGATATTTTATTGGGCTGACCATTGAACCTAACGTATTGTGTTTGAGCTCTTCTGTTCCCCTTTGGCTGTGCTTGCCCCGACTGGCCCGTTTCCAGTCCCCAGCAGTCCGTGCATACCGGTAACATCGTTCCCCTTTTCCTTCCCTCTTCTCCATTGAGGGCAATGTCGATCTTAAGTGTGGGGGGATGTTTATCTTTTGACTGCATTAGATCTGTTTGTGTGCTTGGAGCCTAGTCCACTGTCCAAATTTTTAAATTTGAGGGCTCCAAGTACGTGTTTCCATGCAATTGCCTGCTCAGTATGCTTTGAATTGACAGTCTTTATAGTAATATGCAACCTAGGGAGGTAGTGTAGCACTATGGAGGATGTTGATGCATTTAAGAAATCTCATTTCTTCTTCATATTGTGTTGGTTGATTGAGTGAATTAGTGATCTTAGGACCCTTGAATTGTGTGATGTTGTGGATTCTCTACCGGTCGTGGACTCTTGTTCCATGTTTTGAAAATAACAGGTGCTCGAAAATGTGCTTGAAAATAAACGTCTCACGTGCGAATAGGGCGAAAGTGTGTAAGGGGAGACGGGAATTCGTTCCCAATTTCCATCTACTACCTCCAGCCCCCTTACATGTCTTTCCCCCGCACGAGGCTCGAGACATCCGCTCCTGGCATGGCCGGTAAGAGCAGGTTGGGACCCTTGTAAAAGAAAAGAAAAGAAAAATAACAGAAAACAAGCAAAACAGAAAAAAAGGGGTTCCAACCATATTCAAGAATAAAATAGAGCACCTTGAAAAATGTGAGTCCATGATCCTTTGTTTTTGAGAATCTCCTCATCCACAATTCATTTGTCCTCTGTTCACTATTTTCCATGATGCCGACTCGCCGAAGAAGTTATGAGGTGACTTGTGCGTCGGTTGACCTCGTAAGTTGCTAAATGATCTAGGAAGTCCTCTACCTACGATCTGGGTTGTTTGTTGCTATAGAGGTCTGGAGAGTTGCATTGGTTTGAGTTAGGTTTGCTTGGGGACAAGCAAACGGTTAAGTGTGGGGGAATTTGATAACGATGTAAATGCACATGTTTGCGCCCCTAGTTCTTATCCGTTTGAGGGGCATAGTCGTGTACTTTTGGCCTATTTTACGCCGGGTTGTGCTATTTTGTCATGTTTCAGGTCCCAGGCGTTAAAGGGAAGGCTAACCGCGAGTTTCGGGGCATTCGGAAGTCATTTCGGTGAGCTGGAGCCAAAACACGGGCAGACCCAAGGCATTACACGGCCGTGTACTGCTGGCCGTGCTTTTTATGCCGAGAGCAAATTCAGTTTGGCCAATTCAGCTGCAAACACGGGCACCGAAGCACGGCCGTGTTCCACCAAAGCACGGCCGTGTTCCACCAAAGCACGGCCGTGTCCAACGCGAAGCACGGCCGTGTTTAACCCACTTGCTGGCCGTGTAATTAAGCCCTGGCCGAGGCACGGGCGGAGTCAGGCAAAGCACGGCCGTGCCCTCGACCGTGCTTTGGCCACTGATGCTTTTAAGCAGAGTTTCAGCCACAATTCAAGGGGATTCGAGTTTTTGAGAGAGAGATCAGTTCCTAGAGAGAGAAAGTGACGAACAAGAGTCTCCAAGTGCCCTAGATTGATCTTCAACACCATTGGACGCCAGCTTGAGCTTGGAGAAGTGCCAATCAACGTCCAGAAGTAGGAATCCATCCTTCGCAGTATGAATTCCGTGTCTGATTATGCTTTTGCTTTCTTCTCTATGGAGTAGTTCTCCCATTCATCTGGGTATGGAGAACCCTAGATTTGTATGTTAGGCTTTGATTGTATGAACCCAAGTACTGATTCTATGATTGATTATATTCGATTGAGGTTTTAATGATTGAATGACTTGAATCCTTATCAAATTCCTGTTGTTTCTGCTTTAACCTAGAATGAGAATATCTGCCTAGGTTGATAGAGCATCCTTGATTGAAGGTAGGGAGTTGGTGACTTTAGTCGAGGAACCAACTCACTATTCTGTACCGGATTTACTCCGGTAGTGGAGGTTTTGTTCTTAGGGCCTCAATCTGTCGACTCCGGTGGAGGTTAGTCGCCCGCTAGAGAGTCAGATTGAGAGGGTCTGAAGACCTTTAGTCGAGACTTCAGGCTGTTTAAGAACCTTCCGCAGTATAACTATCATAGAAACTGAACTTGGTAATTACAATCCGGCTTAACTGCAGTCTAGGGGGAACCATATCCGGATGACCTCTTTAACCTGAATACAACCAGTTTACTTGCTTTGTTAGTTTGTTAGTTAGACTTGCATGCCAGTTTCATTGCTAGATAACAAGAATTCACTGAGTAGTCATCACATCTAGGACCCGGGTTGATAATTAAACCCAAACCCGCTATACTACGCTTTAGGAAGTGGTTTCACTTGGCCAATTCCTGGAGTGACAGTAGAGTCGAGTCAACTGCACCCAGCTAGAGTTAAAAAACTTGGCCTCTAGTCGGGATTAATTTGTGGTGTAGTTCCTAGTGAGTCAGTTAGCTTGTACTCCTGCTACCAAGTGTTCTAGTTTTTACAGCATGGAGCCATTCCTCCGCCTCCCCGCGCTGGACTTTATCAGCTACTACAAGCCATCTCACTATCAGATTTCCTGTTCTGAATGCGATCGTGTTCTCCGTTGTTGACTTTCCTTTGAAAATTCTGCTCAAGACCCATGGCTATTTTAATGCATTCATTTTAGTGTGATTGAAGATTTCCATGTAAAAGCTTATTTTAATGCATTTATTTACACACCCATGGCTACCTCCCCCAGTTGAAGACCCTTGGCTTGTTTATAAGTAGCCAAAATGGAGATAGAATTTGTGGAGTAGGCCAAAAAATCATAATAAGGCAAAGAAGGAACACCCTTAGTGGCACGAAGCAACCTGTATGGGGCAGATTATGTGAAGTTGAGGCATCATGTTGGAATGAGTCTGAACTTGTGGAACTAACTGATGGAGAAGGCGAATGAGCCACGAAGCTGGGTGAACTAGAGTAGTTCGAGTTAAGGTGGTGCTAGATTAAGTAAAATTTTCCGTTGTAGAAGTAACAAAAGATCTCGATGAAGAGGATAATAGTGTCAAGATAAAATAGTGCAATACTAAAAAACCATACGAGAAGTTACCGGTGATGGTCTCTAAAGATTTGTATGAATATGATTAAAAGCACCCGAGTAAATTGTCGAGCTTGCGAATGAATTCTATGAGATTTTAGCTTATGTACTACATATTAAGCAAAGAGATATGTCCTCAATATTAAGCAAAGTCTCACAAAATTCAATTTACCTAACATCTTTCATGTTCCTAACAAAAAAAAATAAAAATACTAAACATGATTATCACTCCATAACTGGTTAGCAATGGCATCACACTTCTCGGTCATCTCACGTGTTGCTGCATAGCTGACGTTGAACTCAGTGAGTGGTAGTTCAACCCCAGAAGTCGAACCTTCTTCATCTTCATAATTTTCATATTCATTAAATAGTTTATCATCTTCGGCAGGAATCTTGATGAAATTATGTAAGGCACAACAAGCAATGACAATACTTGTTTGCTTCCTCAAGCTATACGACCGCATGAACTTTAGAATCGGAAACCTTGCCTTTAAAACTCTGAAGGAATGCTCAATCACATTACGCAGACTTGAATGCCAGAAGTTGAATAAAATCATCTCAAATTAAGTAAAATGAGTTTTTATCATTCATTTTAATTAGTATTATTATTATTGAAAAGAGATTGATTTATTACCTTGATAACACTTTCCCAAACATGTTCTTCTGCACTAACAAAACCAGTTGAAGCTTGATATCCCACTACAGTATGACTAAGCAATGTCTTGAAAGCTCTGAGTCTACCCCTTAACCCATTAAACTTATTCTTCACTTGAGTCTTAGTATAGTCTCTTTTCAACCGCTCTTTCAAACAAGCAATGAGATTTGCGAATCCAGTTGGTGAAAAGGTTGAAGTAACACGATTTCCCTTTTTAACTTCTTCCACCAAAAGATCAATGAACACAGATTCAGCTTTATCATCCCATATTTTGCTATCATCCCCATTATCATTTTTCTGAATCTCCACACAATCAACATCACCTTTTTCAACAATTTTCTCCATAACTAAAGTAAACCACAAAACAAAGAACATAGCAATCAATCCATAATCTAGCAATCACTACATACATGCAAAATTCATAAACATATTCAGAAAGTATAGATTAACATAATACTTTGAAGAAGTCGAAGTTACCTGCTGCGGGGGAGATGGAGTGAGGCTTTTGTGGAGGGGAAGTGGTCGGCGGCGGCAGGGCGGGGTCGGCAGTCGGGTCGGCGGGCTGAGCTGGCTGCGCGACAGAGGGGTCGGGCTGCACGGCGGGTTGGGTCGACGTGGAGGCAGAGGGGTCGGGCGCGGAGGCAGAGGGGTCTGCAAGCAGACGTCGACGGCGGGTCGGCGGGCTGGCTGCGCGGCGGAGGTGGCGCCTTGTTGAGAAGGGTGGCAGGTGACGCCTCTGTTGAGAAGGGTTTGGGGGAGAATAGTTTGGGGGCGGCGGCAGATATTAGAGATGGCAATGGGTCGTGTTGGGGCGGGTTTTGTCCAACCCAAACCCAAACCCATGGGTTTATCCGCCAAAAAAACTCGGGGTAAAACCCGTTGGGTTTGAAAAACTCAAACCCAACCCAACCCGCTGGGTATCCGCGGGTTCATGGGTACCCGTGGGTTTTTGTGGTAAAAAATTTACAATAACAAGTTTCTTTCAAAATAAAAGTTTAACATCAATTTTCTCATACAAATTAATCATACAAAAAACACCAATCTAGAGCATACAAGCAAACCGCAAATGATTAATATAAATTGTTCAAAATTAAAGATAAACATCTATGAACAATTAGATTAATTGAAGGCTTCTTCCTCGTCAACTAAGTTTCTTCACTCTCCACTTCATCATATCAACTTCATTCTAAACAATTAGAAAGAACAAATTATACATTTCTCCACAAACATAAAGAATATTAGTTGTTTAAGGAAGATATATTATTTAAAATATTAAATATATCGGGAAAGTAATTATATGTGTGTAGGCGGGTACCCGGGGGCGGGTTTACCTAAACCCCAACCTTACCCGGTGAATAGTGTAGCGGGTTTGAACCCAAACCCGACCCAAAACCCGTCAACATGGGTTTTACCCACGTTGACCGGGTTGGGTCGGGTGGGTACCCGTGGGTTCGGGTTTTGTTGCCATCCCTAGCTGATATGTTGAAGTAGGGTTATGTGGTGGGGTGGGGGGGGGGGGCTTTGTTAAAAATAAAAATTTTGCTTCTGTGGGGATTCGAAAACTAGTCTGGTTTAATGAAATCAAGTGCCCAACCAGTAGGAATCCCGTGTGCAATAAATTGTTGTTTCTCATATTTGGGCCTTGTTGTGCAACTCTGATTCACAACTGAAAATAAAAACCCAACTAAACACGATTTTTTTTCTTGGTTTTCCAAATTTCATAAAACAAAATAGACAACAAAAACAAGCAACAATACTAAATGGCCCCTAAGGTTTTTAATGATAGACTACTCAAAACCAGAGGTTTTACTTGGATTCGATGAAACAAGATAAAATCAATAAATGATAAAGCATATTTTTTTATAAGGGTGAATGCATTAAAATAACCGAAAGAGAGATTTAAGTACAGTGCAGGAAGGGATCAAACCAGATTAATCACCAACAGGGGGAAAAAGAAAGAAAAAAATCAAAACACAAATACCCAACCAGAAAAAAGCCAGTACAAGGAAGACCAGACTTCCCCTGTACCCAAACGAAAAGGCTGCCCAGACCGCAGCCGAAAAAAAAAACCAAGAAGGGAAGGAAAGACAAAGAGAAGGCAATAGAAAAAGGATGGGAACCCCGTGCAGAGCAAAGCAAACTCAAGGCCAGAATACATAGCACAGGCCAGCCACGGCAAACTAGTCACCAAGACTATCTCACAAACAAGTAGCCGCGATCAACATCAAAGCTTGACTATCAAGTCCTTCATTCATCTGACTCCGGCCTCTTTATCGATCTTGCCATGCGCCATATCCCAATCAAACATGTTTGTAAGAGCCTTTCGAGCAACAACCTGAGGAGAAGAGGAACAATTGCTGAAAATGCGTCTATTTCTCTCGAGCCACACTTGCCAACAAACAGCGTGCAACGCGCAAAAGCTGATCCAACCGGCCATGTTGTTTGTAGAATCAGAGTCTCAAGTTCGGATGGTCGTGGCAATGCTGGTAGTAGGGGATGCACGCAAGCTAAACACTCTCTTCAACCTGCTCCAAACATCGCTGCCAAACTCACAATAAACAAACAGATGATTCGCATTCTCCTCCTTCTTGCTGCACAATTCGCACTTATTAGCAAGCGAGACGCCCTGCCTCTGAAGCAAGTCAATGGTGACTACTCGCTCGTGGGCCAGATGCCAAATGAAGAAGCACACCTTTTTGGGAATGATCCTCCGCCAAACAGATTCCGCTGGAAAGTTCTACGGCCTGGGGAAGCGGTCTTTCATCAAGCACCTGTACATGGAACGGACAGAGAACGAGGAATCTGGATTCGGCAACTAAACCGGCCTACAAGGCTCGTTGGTCACCCTATTAGTACCAACATTGTTAAGTAAATTCAACAAAGACACCCTCTCCCTCTCAGCCCCCCCTCTAAGATTGAAAGATAAAGGATTGTCCCAAGAAACAATCTCACTAATGCGCATCGCGACACGAGGGAAACCATCTGCAAGAACCACACCTGGGATCCAACAATCATACCAAAATGAGGTCCAGTGACCACTCCCAGGATCAATATGAGCCAGATTCCAGAATTCTTCGTATGCCACTGGGAAAGGGCATTGGGGTACTTGGTATTAATAAGAGTTCGCCACCAACTATCCTTTTCAAACGCAAAACGCCAAAGCCATTTCCCGAGCATAGCTCTGTTGAAACACTCCATATCCACCACCCCCAAGCCACCCTGCTCTTTAGGGGCTTTACAAATTTTCCACTTAACCAATGGAATTTTCTGAAACTCCCCACTACCAGTCCATAGAAACCGTCGCTGCACCTTTTCCAATCTATTCACCAGTGTTGTCAGGGCTCGAAAAAGGGAGAAGTAATAAACAGGCTGACTGGCCAGGATCGATTTATAAAGGGTAAGCCTACCTCCTGTGGAGAGAAATCCGGCCCTCCATTCCACAAGCTTCTTTTGGTGCTTGTCAACAATCGAGTCCCAAATGGACACAACATTAGTCTTGGCGCCTAAAGGAAACCCGAGATACTTCGAAACATCGCTACTCCACTTGCGACCCGCAATATTCGCAAAGAATTCAGGATTTGGCACCTCACCTACTGTATAAATAACGGACTTCTCCAAGTTAATCTTCAATCCTGTGACCGCTTGGAAGCATGCCAGATTCGCCATTACATTAAGAACCTGATCACACGAGGCATCACAGAAAATTAGAGTATCGTCAACGAAGAGCAGGTGTGTAACCTCTCCAAGCCTATTCCTCTCATCCATGCATAAGCCACTAATCCTTCCATCCCCCTTAAGCTTGCTGATCATAAAGGAAAGCACATCCATAACTAAGACAAACAGCCCTGGCGATAACGGGTCCCCCTGCCGAAGCCCTTTCTGTTCCTCGAAATAACCTTTGGCTTCCCCATTGATCAAAATCGATATCATCGGAGAACACATCACTCCTCGGATCCACTGCTACCATCTCGTCGAGAAACCAAAACTATGACAAACTCTAAACAAGCAATCCCAACTGACGTTGTCAAACGTCTTCTTAATGTCTGGCTTAAACATCATGTCTGGTTTTCTGCTTTTACGCCGGTTGTCCACCAACTCAAATTCCACAAGACCTGCTTCGGCAATTTGCCTCCCTCTAACGGAAGCAAACTGGTTAAGAGATACCAACATAGGGAGCACAGCACCAAATCTGCGAGCAATAACCTTACTGATAAGCTTGTTAATACTTCCCAAAAGACTAATCGAACGCAGATCCTTAATCTCTTCAACCGCATCCTTTTTGGGAAGCAAGCAAATAAAAGAGTGTGTGGCACTCTTGGGCAGCTTACCACTGTGAAAGAACTCATTAAAGACGTTGACAACTTCCCCTTTAATCCACGGCCAACACCTCTTGTAGAATTCCCAAGTAAACCCGTCCGGACCGGGGGCTATTCCGCCATCGTTGTCGCTAATACATGCCCAGATCTCAACATCAGAGAAGGGACGACATAGTAAAGCATCATCTTCCACGGAAACTCTGCTCTCGACAAACAAGGAAGGGAAAGTTCTCGCCCCAACTGATTCTTTGAAAAGATTCGAGTAAAACCCAACAATACCAGAAGCCAACTCCTCCTTGCCTTCAACCATAGTCCCATCAATCTTGATACACTCAATCAAGTTTAACTTTCGACGATAGTTAGCTGCCCTATGGAAGAAACCAAAATTGTTATCACCCAACTTTAGCCACAGCTCCTTCAACTTTTGTCTCCACGAAATCTCCTGGAGGAAGAGAACCCTGCCCACCTCCACTTTAAGAAGTTCCCTAGCGGAAACCTCCTCCTCAGAAAGAGCCCGGTTTTCTTCCGTCCTGTCCAACTCAGAAACCTTGTCGGCCAACTCACTAATTTTCAAATTGATGTCTCCGAAAACTTCCTTGTTCCACACCTTCACCTTGTTTTTTTAAAACACAGTGAAGATAAAACACAGAGAATAACCAGATGGGTGAAAACAATTGTTCAAACTATGCGCCACTCTAGGTTCGATGGACCGATAGGTTATTTAAATGGATCAAAATCGCATGGAGTTCCTCCTACCTTATGTCACGACATTTAACCAAAATAATAGGCAACAAAGAGCCTATGGATTTTCTCCTTTGAGGTGTCACGCAATTTAATCGATTGATGATCAATCAATGATCAATGATCGATCAATGTAGAGTTTATCTATCCATAAATACATAAGAAATCACTAAAAAAGAAGGAATAAGTGTCACCATGGCGAGTTCCCTTTCTGATCTGCACTTCTAGCTCCTTATTTGTGCTTCTGGGAAGCTCTTCTAGTCGTATTTTTGCAGCTTAAGCTAAGAG